AAAAAAAAATAAAAAATTTATTGGTTCAAAAATGGTGGGTAAGCACTGTGGCCAATGACAAAGTTCGTTTGCCACCTCTGCATGGTTGTAAATCATGCAGAGTCCGCAAAATGCTCCGGAAGCAGTGCCCGGAGGATGCATCAAGGCTCTGTTATGGATACTTGGCATTGCATGCACTGCTATACCATTTTTACGTAGAAATTAAAAACCAACAGACTTTTACGTATGTAATGCTGTGCGTTGGGTAACCGCTTACACGCGAAGCTCATTTAACAGATTCCTTCTGTGACAACTCTCAAGCAATGCCAAGTATGCATAACAGAGCCTTCAGACTAGGCCGAGCATACTTTGAAGTGCCATCTAATCAAAACTTAAGGAAACTTAATTACATGGCAGTTGAGAAGTGCATGTGCAAAAGTTTCATAACTTGCAGAAATTAAATTTTTGCACATGCAGCAGTATATATGTAGCATGTATTTAGGCGCCTCACCCGAATCTAAAAACCTTAACATACGCGTATAGTCGAAGAATTAAACATTAATTTAAAATAAAGGTTCTAAATTTCCGAGCTCTATTTTATTAATAAATTCGCACTTTTTTTGTAAATTTCGATGTGGTTCTGCGCAAAGATACAGTGGATGGCGTAGTCGGAGTTAAATGCACAATAAATGTTGTATACCTTTAAAGCTCCTCTTCTCCGAAAACACATAAAGGAGAATTCTACTTAGTAAGGGTTATTTATAATAGGTGGTGGAATAGGTGGTGGACCCAACAAAGTGCATGTTTTCAATGGATTGGAAGAAGCTGTTATTGGATTAACTGGATTGAGAACCAGTTATTCAGAAGCATAGGAGAAGTTATAGCTTGTGGCTCAGCAATTCAACCAGAAGCTGACATAGATGCGTCCATGGTTACTATGTCCGACAGCTCCGCATACCTTTGTGAATCCATTGTAATAGCGCACTATAATTGCAAATTCATCAGTCCATAATTTTCCTCAAAATATGTAAAATTAACCAATTTAACTATAAACAAGCACATGATGAGTGTTTTTTTAATTCTTTTCCACTTTGTTTTCCTTCATACAGCTGACTTCGAAAAATAACTGATTGCTGGCAATACTGCATATTTTTACGCGAGGGTTGCAGTATGTCGATTTTTCGTTTTTCGTAACGTAGCAACGAATTACGAATTGCGAAAATTCGTCTTCTAGAATACGGGTGTAAATAAAATAGCTAAAACTTACTTAAATGTTTTTATTTGGTTCACTCTATGTGTATTTCGGTAACGGATTTATCAATTTCAACCAAACTCAGGGCAATTATTGACCTTGGTATAAAAAA